ACTGCCTCAGAATTGTCTGATCCAAGGTACTTGAAGGCTCTTGTGCGTGTGAGCTCGATGCCACTGATCTTAATGGAATCGGACTCATTTGTATCGGTCGTCAAGTACTCGGTTTTCTTGATGTTCAACCTCAGTCCGAACTTTGCTAGGCGATCAGACCAGGCTTGCGCCTGGTCTGATCGCCTAGCAAGGTCGAGTTCGCTGCACTTCATTGGCGAGCACCACATCATCTGCGTAGAGAAGGGTCCACGGACTCGGTTTCTGAATATCTCGTGAGATTGCATCTAAGACGACCACGAAAAGAAGTGGGGAGAGCGCTGAGCCTTGATGTACCCCGACCGTGATGGGAAATTCCTGCGAAGTGCCTGCTGGTGCTTGCACGCGGCTCTTCAAGCTGAAGCACAGTATGCACTCCCATTCAGTGAGCTCTTGGGGACGCCGCCGTGTTGCCGCAAGATGCATCATAACCTCACGCAGAACAGGATCGAATGCCTTCTCCAGGTGCAGCAAAGCTAGGGCCTGTTCCTGACGAAGGTTCCTTTATGAAAAGCTTCAAGGTGTGAAATAACGCGCTCCTGTGCCGACACATAGCGAGTTAAAACAACCGGTTACTCTTTGAAGGTTCGAATAGCTATTTCGTTCTATCTACGTTTAGTAAAGGGTATCGTACCTATGTCCGATTTCAGAGTGGAATTCGTACCAAAGAAAAAACTTTTTCTCTACGAGATGCTTGACTCTGGTTTATAGGTCTCACCAAAATGAGAGCTACTAGCTAACATGAAATAGCAGAAGGAAGTAGCGAAAAAGCAAATCCAAGCCGAACAGAGCAGAAATAAACAGGTAATGGAGCATTCACTCGTTGTCCTGAAACCGGAAAAGGTCAACTACAAGTATTAAAATCTTCATCCAAACCGTCTAACCTTGAAGACAGTTCCATCAAGTGATCCGTGAAATGTCTCCGTCCACTTGGCATCCAGGTGCACACTCGTAGGGTGTATCATTTCCGTCACTCGAAAGGATGAGATAAAACGGCCACATACGCGAGATTTTTTACAACTTTGATTATACTAAGTTGCACGACAGGCACTTGAACGCTGAATTACGCGCATACATTCTGTTGCCTGAAGCGTCGTAGCACAATTTCATATGCTCGTCGCACAGAGCGGTAGTGCGTCGACTTCACGAGTCGTTCCCCTTTCCCTCGATACATTTTTGAAAACGAGAAGTCAATAGCAAAATTAGGGATAAAACGGCAGACGCAAGACTTTTTACTGCTTTGATGATTTTACGCTGCACGACAACTACTTGAACGCTGAATCACGCGCATACATTCCGTTGCCTTTAGCGTCGTAGCACAGTTCCATATGCTTGTCGCACAGAGCGGTAGTGCGTCGACTTTTGCAATCTCACCAGTCGCTGTCCTTTCTCTAGATACCTTCTATGAAATCAAGAAGTCAATAGCAGTCCTCTACGTAAGGCAACATGCGTTCTAACGTCGCTTCAACTCAACAGCGATGCAGCTGCAGTGGTGCAAAAGTACGTCGTGTCCACTTACCGTAATACTTACTTCATTCACAGTTCTCGGAAAACTGCCGGATCTTGCTGCAGTGTTTTTGTTTTCATTTTTTTCTAGTATTAGACTCCATTTAATACTGAAAGATGCGAACGATTTGTGGGCCAGGGGCTGCGTACAAGCTACAAGATGTCGAATCGCCAACACGTCTGACGAACTCGAACAACGAGGCTATGGAACTGCTATCTATAACCTTGATCGTGGAATTTGCCCAATCAGAGCTGCGACGGGTCGGATTCCCGAGAAGTTGTCACGGCTTCCTACAGAGACCTAGCTATCTTTTTTATACACATTTCGGGCCCTTCAACAATGAAAGGCCCCAGCAATTCTGACACTCTCTCTTCCAAAACTTCATTAAGATATCGTTGAAAATGGGATACTGAGAACTACGAGCACTATCCTAACAACAACTTCGACAGCGACTGGCGTCACTTTTGGAAGTATTCGTTATCAGAATACTGTCAACGATAAACACTTTCACTTGACCATTATTCAATACAGATAAATCCCAAAATGTATGACGGTGGATCAGATAAAAAACACATTTAAAAAAAAGAAAATGACAACTGGGAGACATAATCAATTTTAAAAAGAGAACAAAACAAGGACACTAAAGAAAAACGAAACAACAAAACAGAGGTCCGAGATACCAATTTGTTAAAGTAAACTCGGGTGAACCGCTTCTTCGGCAGTATTCCGACGGACATTCCTCGATTGTTTGGTGATCACATCATCGCAAGCGAGCGAGCGAATGAAAAGCATTTTCAAAACTCCAAACTGTCCAACGTTAACTGTGACAGATGTCCGCCGTTTTTGACCTTGGAAACCTCACCAAAGACGTCCCCAGAGAGAGAGGAGATAGGGTGTGAGAGAGAGAACGCCCTCAAATGACCACGACAAACACAACACAACAATGACGATGACGGTGCTGAGAGTGACACTCGGAAAATCAGTAGATACGAGATAACATGATTGGAGATATTGAACGTTTGGAAGAGGAGGAAAAGCCAAATTGAGATGGATACAATATCAATAAGAAAGTCACTGACTACGCCAGCGTCTAATAAAACAAGACTTTCAGAAAAACGGGCAGCGAACTGGGCCATTTCTTTAGACGGCTTACCGTATCAGGATAGAATAGAAACACGGTACTACCGGGGCATGTGGACGCTTTTGTTCAGGGCTTCACATGATCGAGCATCGCTCGGCTGGATCAGACGGGTCGGTCGACTCATCAGACTCGAATGTTACCGATGACCGCAAGTCTCCTTCGTGATCCTCAAGGCGCACAGACGGATTGTCGCCCATGGGCCACTGAAAATTTGTTTTTGACGTTGCAAGATGAATAATAAATATTCAGGGCACAAGTATGCCTCATATGCAGAGATTCTATGGGCGTGGCTGCGTACTCCATTTGAACAAGATGCAGGAAGCTTTTTGTAGGGTACTTCCAGTGGAGACAACTGTCATTTTATCTTGTGCACGACAAAGACATGATTGCAATCTCACAAAGCGATAAAATTCCACCTAAAGGGCAGCTGTCGTCACCTTCAGATGTCGTACGCAGCTACGCCCATCCTGGTTGCAAGAATGGACTGTGCACAAAATCGCAAGTCTTGGGGAATAGAACCGCAAGTTGATCTTTATTAGGAAACGGCTACCGGGAGAAACTGAGTCCTATTAAGACCCCCCCCCAGTCTCGTACCAATCGGCACAAGATTTGATTAGCCTGGGCGGTGTATCATCGAAGATTTTATTTTCGGATCATGAAAGTCACTTGAACCCTGTACTCAACAGTCAATTCGTAGAAGTTCTCCGTTATTTAAAGGCAGCTGACACGATGATTTCATGTACACTTTGAAAAAGAGCAAAGGTGCCCAGTGATGCAAAAATAGTGAAAAAA